CACTACATATCTCTAACCTCTCATGGTCCTATATTTCTACAATATTCCCCATTCCATGATTTCTCCTGAAACGTATAGTTCTGCAATGACCTCCAATCTCGTGTGAGTTCAGACTATCCTCTTAACACCCCTGAACTCATCCCTGGTGATCACTGATGAACCGTGCGTTCCAGGAGAAATGAGGGAATGGTGATCATTGTAAACCTATGATGCCAGGTAAAACCAGAGAACAGTGATCATTGTAGAACTGTAGGGCAAGGTGAAATCACAGAATGGTGATCAATGTAGAGCTGTAAAGCCAGGTGAGATCAGAGAAAAGGGATCATTTTAGAATTGTGGGGCCAAGTTAGATCAGAGAACGGTAACCATTGTAGAACTATGGGCAGGTGAGATCAGAAAACAGTGGTTGTTGTAAAACTATACGACAGGCGAGATCCGAGAACAGGGATCACTAGAGAACTATAGGACAGGCGAGATCCGAGAACAGGGATCACTGGAGAACTACAGGACAGGCGAGATCCGAGAACAGGGATCACTAGAGAACTATAGGACAGGCGAGATCCGAGAACAGGGATCACTGGAGAACTACAGGACAGGCGAGATCCGAGAACAGGGATCACTGGAGAACTACAGGACAGGCAAGATCCGAGAACAGGGATCACTGGAGAACTACAGGACAGGCGAGATCCGAGAACAGGGATCACTGGAGAACTACAGGACAGGCGAGATCCGAGAACAGGGATCACTAGAGAACTACAGGACAGGCGAGATCCGAGAACAGGGATCACTAGAGAACTACAGGACAGGCGAGATCCGAGAACAGGGATCACTAGAGAACTACAGGACAGGCGAGATCCGAGAACAGGGATCACTGGAGAACTACAGGACAGGCGAGATCCGAGAACAGGGATCACTGGAGAACTACAGGACAGGCGAGATCCGAGAACAGGGATCACTGGAGAACTACAGGACAGGCGAGATCCGAGAACAGGGATCACTAGAGAACTACAGGACAGGCGAGATCCGAGAACAGGGATCACTAGAGAACTACAGGACAGGCGAGATCCGAGAACAGGGATCACTAGAGAACTATAGGACAGGCGAGATCCGAGAACAGGGATCACTAGAGAACTATAGGACAGGCGAGATCCGAGAACAGGGATCACTAGAGAACTATAGGACAGGCGAGATCCGAGAACAGGGATCACTAGAGAACTATAGGACAGGCGAGATCCGAGAACAGGGATCACTAGAGAACTATAGGACAGGTGAGATCAGGGATCACTGGAGAACTATAGGACAGGTGAGATCAGGGATCACTGGGGAACTATAGGACAGGTGAGATCCGAGAACAGCGATCACTGGGGAACTATAGGACAGGTGAGATCCGAGAACAGCGATCACTGGGGAACTATAGGACAGGTGAGATCAGGGATCACTGGGGAACTATAGGACAGGTGAGATCAGGGATCACTGGGGAACTATAGGACAGGTGAGATCAGGGATCACTGGGGAACTATAGGACAGGTGAGATCAGGGATCACTGGGGAACTATAGGACAGGTGAGATCAGGCACTGGGGAACTATAGGACAGGTGAGATCAGGGATCACTGGGGAACTATAGGACAGGTGAGATCAGGATCACTGGGGAACTATAGGACAGGTGAGATCAGGGATCACTGGGGAACTATAGGACAGGTGAGATCAGGGATCACTGGGGAACTATAGGACAGGTGAGATCAGGGATCACTGGGGAACTATAGGACAGGTGAGATCAGGGATCACTGGGGAACTATAGGACAGGTGAGATCAGGGATCACTGGGGAACTATAGGACAGGTGAGATCAGGGATCACTGGGGAACTATAGGACAGGTGAGATCAGGGATCACTGGGGAACTATAGGACAGGTGAGATCAGGGATCACTGGGGAACTATAGGACAGGTGAGATCAGGGATCACTGGGGAACTATAGGACAGGTGAGATCAGGGATCACTGGGGAACTATAGGACAGGTGAGATCAGGGATCACTGGGGAACTATAGGACAGGTGAGATCAGGGATCACTGGGGAACTATAGGGACAGGTGAGATCAGGGATCACTGGGGAACTATAGGACAGGTGAGATCAGGGATCACTGGGGAACTATAGGACAGGTGAGATCAGGGATCACTGGGGAACTATAGGACAGGTGAGATCAGGGATCACTGGGGAACTATAGGACAGGTGAGATCAGGGATCACTGGGGAACTATAGGACAGGTGAGATCAGGGATCACTGGGGAACTATAGGACAGGTGAGATCAGGGATCACTGGGGAACTATAGGACAGGCGAGATCAGGGATCACTGGGGAACTATAGGACAGGTGAGATCAGGGATCACTGGGGAACTATAGGACAGGTGAGATCAGGGATCACTAGGGGAACTATAGGACTGAGGCGAGATCACTGGGGAACTATAGGACAGGTGAGAACAGGGATCACTAGAGAACTATAGGACAGGCGAGATCCAGGGATCACTAGAGAACTATAGGACAGGCGAGATCCGAACTAACAGGGATCACTAGAGAACTATAGGACAGGGTGAGATCCGAGAACAGGGGATCACAGGGAGACTGGGGAACTATAGGACAGGTGAGAGAACAGGGATCACTGGGGAACTATAGGACATCATCGGGGATCACTGGGGAACTATAGGACAGGTGAGATCGGGGTCACTGGGGGGAACTATAGGACAGGTGAGATCGGGGATCACTGGGGAACTATAGGACAGGTGAGATCAGGGATCACTGGGGAACTATAGGACAGGTGAGATCAGGGATCACTGGGGAACTATAGGACAGGTGAGATCAGGGATCACTGGGGAACTATAGGACACTGGGTGAGATCAGGTGAGGGATCACTGGGGAACTATATAGGTGAGACAGGATCACGAGATCAGGCGAGAATCCGAGGGATCACTAGAGAACTATAGGACAGGCGAGATCCGAGAACAGGGATCACTAGAGAACTATAGGACAGGTGAGATCAGGGATCACTGGGGAACTATAGGACAGGTGAGATCCGAGAACAGCGATCACTGGGGAACTATAGGACAGGTGAGATCCGAGAACAGCGATCACTGGGGAACTATAGGACAGGTGAGATCGGGGATCACTGGGGAACTATAGGACAGGTGAGATCGGGGATCACTGGGGAACTATAGGACAGGTGAGATCGGGGATCACTGGGGAACTATAGGACAGGTGAGATCGGGGATCACTGGGGAACTATAGGACAGGTGAGATCGGGGATCACTGGGGAACTATAGGACAGGTGAGATCGGGGATCACTGGGGAACTATAGGACAGGTGAGATCACTGGGGATCACTGGGGAACTATAGGACAGGTGAGATCGGGGATCACTGGGGAACTATAGGACAGGTGAGATCGGGGATCACTGGGGAACTATAGGACAGGTGAGATCGGGGATCAGTGATCCCCGATCTCACCTGTCCTATAGTTCCCCAGTGATCCCCGATCTCACCTGTCCTATAGTTCCCCAGTGATCCCCGATCTCACCTGTCCTATAGTTCCCCAGTGATCCCCGATCTCACCTGTCCTATAGTTCCCCAGTGATCCCCGATCTCACCTGTCCTATAGTTCCCCAGTGATCCCCGATCTCACCTGTCCTATAGTTCCCCAGTGATCCCCGATCTCACCTGTCCTATAGTTCCCCAGTGATCCCCGATCTCACCTGTCCTATAGTTCCCCAGTGATCCCCGATCTCACCTGTCCTATAGTTCCCCAGTGATCCCCGATCTCACCTGTCCTATAGTTCCCCAGTGATCCCCGATCTCACCTGTCCTATAGTTCCCCAGTGATCCCCGATCTCACCTGTCCTATAGTTCCCCAGTGATCCCCGATCTCACCTGTCCTATAGTTCCCCAGTGATCCCCGATCTCACCTGTCCTATAGTTCCCCAGTGATCCCCGATCTCACCTGTCCTATAGTTCCCCAGTGATCCCCGATCTCACCTGTCCTATAGTTCCCCAGTGATCCCCGATCTCACCTGTCCTATAGTTCCCCAGTGATCCCCGATCTCACCTGTCCTATAGTTCCCCAGTGATCCCCGATCTCACCTGTCCTATAGTTCCCCAGTGATCCCCGATCTCACCTGTCCTATAGTTCCCCAGTGATCCCCGATCTCACCTGTCCTATAGTTCCCAGTGATCCCCGATCTCACCTGTCCTATAGTTCCCCAGTGATCCCCGATCTCACCTGTCCTATAGTTCCCCAGTGATCCCCCCACCTGTCCTATAGTTCCCCAGTGATCCCCGATCTCACCTGTCCTATAGTTCCCCAGTGATCCCCGATCTCACCTGTCCTATAGTTCCCCAGTGATCCCCGATCTCACCTGTCCTATAGTTCCCCAGTGATCCCCGATCTCACCTGTCCTATAGTTCCCCAGTGATCCCCGATCTCACCTGTCCTATAGTTCCCCAGTGATCCCCGATCTCACCTGTCCTATAGTTCCCCAGTGATCCCCGATCTCACCTGTCCTATAGTTCCCCAGTGATCCCCGATCTCACCTGTCCTATAGTTCCCCAGTGATCCCCGATCTCACCTGTCCTATAGTTCCCCAGTGATCCCCGATCTCACCTGTATAGGACAGGTGAGATCGGGGATCACTGGGGAACTATAGGACAGGTGAGATCGGGGATCACTGGGGAACTATAGGACAGGTGAGAAGTGGAAGCCCCAGTGGTGTCCCAGGCAGTCTTCCAGGACATGAGATGTCAGACAGGGTGTGTGCACTCATTATACAAGCAGCACATGTAGCGGGACTGCTCCATACACAGGCCTGTCATCACACCCCGGGTGCTCACGTGTCCTCCCCTAGCTTCCAGCACTCCATCCAGCCACTGCTGAGGACTGCACGGCCCCCAACTCTCCCAAGCCTGTCTGTCACCCCCTCATGGAAAACCACATATACAAAAGCCAATGCCGAGGGCTCACTCACCGTCCATGGGGACGTCTTGCCCCGACTCCGCCATCCCGACCTCCAAAGCCGGCTACGGTCAGTGTCGGGAAACGTTCAACGCTGAGCTCGGCCTGGGCATCTTCGAGTACCGCGTCATCCTGACAGCGCGTGACAGGCAGCGTCATTACGTAACTGGACGTGACGCTGTGACCTGCCGAAGAACGTGAGATGCCATGTTTCTGTCTGGCAGGGGTATTACTGAGCTGTGATGATAATAATATGTGAGAGCATTTACTCACAGTTTCTGAGAGATAAAATCTCTCTTCTGTAGATAACTTTTCCTTGTAGTCATTAGGCAGCACTACTTCAGAAGCCAGAACAGTATTATGTGTGTTGTCCCTCAAAAACCCATACGGAGCCTTAGGAGGGAAAAGAAATAGAAGGGGTTATGTTTAGGGCGCATGTGGGTGGAGCTTTGTGTTGTTACAAAACATTGCTCTATTTACTTTTTTTAAAGTTTATTAGAAATGTTAAAGTGATATTTATAAATTTTGTGCAGCACAACAGACCTGGGGGGTTGACAAATGACAGTGACTTTAACTACTTGTCCTCCAGAGGATTTACCCCCCTTCCTGACCAGGCCATTTTTTGCATTACAGCTGCGTTACTTTGACAATTGCGCGGTCATGCAATGCTGCACCCAAATGAAATTTGTGTCCTTTTTTCCCACAAATTGAGCTTTTTTTGGTGGTATTTGATCACCTGTGCGTTTTGGGGTTTATTTGCGCTATAAAAAAAAGACCGACAATTTTGAGAGAAAAACAATACTTTTGACTTTTTGCTATTAAACATTTCCAGTAAAAAAATTTAAAAATCAAATTTCATCATAAATTTAGGCCAAAATGTATTCTGCCAATTGTCTTTGCTAAAAAAAATACCAATACATGTAAATTAATTGGTTTATGTGAAAGTTTTAACATTTACAAATGGCGGTATAGATACTGGAATTTTTTTATTTTTTTTTACTAGTAATGGTGACGATCATTATATTGCGGGACTGCGGCAGACATTCTGACACTGGGGGGAACTGACTTGGTGTCACTGACATCAGAAGTGACACCAATACAGTGATCAGTGCTAAAAAAAAAAAAAGCATTGACGCTCTGCTAATGGCACTGGGCAGGAAGGCATTAACAGGGGCGATCAAAGGGTTAACTGTGTGTGCTGGGAGTGTTTTACATAGGGGGTGGTGTCAGTGTGCTTCAATGTAAGTACACTGCTTTGGATGGCTGTGCTGTGCACAGCCATCCAAATCAGTGTGTCTGAGCTGACAGGAAGGAGAACTGTTAGTAAACAAAACAGTTCTCCTCCCCGTCGGAGATCGGCGGAAATCACCGGCCGGGACCCAGTGATCGACAGATCGGTGGTGCGGGTAGGGAGCGCACGCAGCTCGTGTGCGTCCCCTACCCAGAAATATATGTGATATATACCCTGCATTGTGAATGTTTACATGTTATGTGCAATTAAACCATGGCAACATCTAATGTTTGTGTAGTATTATGTTCAGCAGACTGTGTTCTTCTATTGTTGTGACTTAGATGACGTTCAGAGCACATTTTATGCCCAATTCATGCAAAACTCCATGTAATCCCAAGGGGTTCACATACTTTTTCTTGCAACTGTAGATCAAAAACACAATTTTCTCAAATTAGAATACAGCCCATTATTCATTTAGTTTCTCGAGCCACTGTGGTAAATTAATTCCAAAATGTTCTAATCCTACAAAATTCATATATCATAAGATTTATACATTTGTATTATAGCTTGCAATAGTGATATATGCCTTGTTCATTATTTTCAAATATCTCTCAAATCAGTGCTTATTGTGAGCTGGTATAACCCTTAGACACTAAGGGGTCTACTTATAAAAAATTTGTTGGACAGATGTCTTACATGCTGTAATTTCTCTAATAGAGTAATCCCTTTGATTATCAGCTACATCAAGTGGCCAAAATGCAGTATATTTTTTTAAATACATCCATGAAAAAATACATTATGTCACATTTTGGCCTTTAGAAAAGGCTGATGATCATAGGGATTACTCTTGTTACAACTAATGTTTTAAAAATAGAACCCAAAATGTTCTATTTCCTTTATATGCAGGAAGAACGTACTACATTTAGCATGATCTAAAAAAAAATGCATACATAAATCTTAATGACAATTTACTAATTATTCCATTCTTAGAGAAGTTTTTTCCAGGATTTAATTAATAGTGAAACAATTTTTATATCCCAGTTGCTTGTTTTTCTTAAATCTAATCCTGAATCTGTTTGTAAGAGAAAGTAATTTCATATGGCTGACCAAACTTCTTCATTTTAATAGAGGAAATATGCTTTCGTTTGTTCCCAACAAAAGATTCCACCTTTGGGAAACCCCTTTCATTCCAGTCATAGTATACTATGTATTTAACCATTTTACTGCGACCACTGTACTGCTTATGGTTGTGGCAGCAAGTGGTTGTACACTCCACAAGCTGTCACCTTTCTAATGAACAGCTTACCAATCACTTTCTGTGACCCCCTGCAGTGTGTTCCCTGCAGCAACAGCTCCAGATAACATTTTTTGGGGTTGCTATGCTGGTGCTGGAAGTAAGAGTAGGAGTCCTAATGCAGTGCAGGAAGCCCACCGCCTACCTTGCACATGTGGGCATGGCCAAAATTGGGTGTGACAAGCAAGTGGGTGTTTCTTCATGGTCTATGGCTTGTGGTGTAAAACATTTCTCCTTTTCTGTAGGCCAAATAAAACCTGGGGGTGAATTGAAGAGACTGTGGGATTAAAATAAGCCCAGCTGGGGTCAGAAAATATAACCCCCAGCTTGTGTTAAGTTTAGCAATAACCCCCAGCACAGGATAATAATGAACTCCCAGCGCACCACAATATTAACACACAGTAGGACTCATAAATTAACCCCTAGCACAGCACAGGAATTAACCAGGTCATGGTTCAATACTTAGCCCTCCGCACAGTCATTAACCCCAGCATTGCACAACAGTTAACCCCCAACATTGAACAACAATTAACCTTCAACATTGCACAACAATTAAACCCCAAAATTACATAACAATTAGCCCCCAACATTGCACAATAATTAACCTCCAATGTTGCACAATAATTAACCCGCAACACTGCATGATAACTAACCAGCAGCACAGCACAGCAATTAACCCCCAGCACATGCCTCCTTTATTGTGCAACATACAACATAGCATACAGAGTGAAGAGGTCAGCAGTAAATGTGTAGAGCGTGAGGGTCAAGACAAAGTACATTAGTTCCTCAGTGTGCCCTCTTATATTGGTGGTCAATAATCTTCAGGCTCTCTTACATTAATGGTTAGTGTGCATCTGCACAATGATGGTTAGTGTGTCCCTTGTGCAAAGGTGATCAGTATGTCTTCTGTACATTAATACAAAGCAAACAATGCAGCGCAATCCTACACTTCCTCTATAAAATAGTACAAATGGACTATTTGCAATGGTTAGACCTATATATGATTGAATATCCAGTGCAGATCAACCAATGTATTGCAATATAGTAGGAATGGTGTCATCCTCGCTGCAAAAAATATTTTGAGAAGCAGCAGAGTTGTAATGTGCAAACAATGGTAAAACCCTCTACATACAATAATAATAACAGAGGTGCAAATCAAGTAGTGATGGTGGTACCCTCTGCAAAAGTAAGAAGTATTGCAGAACTGCAATGTGCAAATAGTGGTGAAACCCCATACATATAATAATAAATGTAAAATATGCATCGATTATACATTTATTATTTTTATTATTATTATTATATGTATTGGTTCACTACTATTTGCACATTACAGCTCTGTAACATTTCTTAACATTTGCAGAGTGGGTGATACCATTCCTACTATGTTCTAATACACTGGTTGATTTGCACCACTTCTATTAATATTGTATGTAGGGGGTTTCACCATAATTTGCACATTGCAGCTCTGAAATTTCTCAAAATATGTTTGCAGAGAGGATGACACCATCACTACTATATCACTAATATATTTACTTTGAATGTGGGAATATATATCAATGGTAGCAGCAACCAGCTAAAAAAGATTCTGTGAATCTATGAAACCAGCCTGCCGGGACTCACTAAAGGGTGTCGCCTTACACGGACGGAGCAGCTGTATCCATCCACAGGAAAAAAGAGTCCCCAGCCTTCTGGCATCAACAGAAGATGTGCAGGTAAATTGAAATTCAAAAAAAAAACACTGTGACATCTGAATTTTGTGGATGCTACAGGGGTGCCTAAAGAATCTTTTGGGGTGCTTCAGCACCCCCAAGCACCCACCTGGCACCGCCTCTGGTTCCCCTGTGCAACTCCTCCACCATGTTTCCAAGGCCCTGCTGTCCTGCGTGTGGGCCCAGAACCCACATAGCAGGCATCGCTAGGTGGACATCTGGGGACGGAAGATGCAATGGCTGTCTGATCATGTAACTGCAGGATTAAAGTGGGTGGAAACCCTTACATATACCCAATAAAGTGAATCAACAAATCTCTTACATCATTTGTACCTGTTTATCTATAGCTATGTTTCCCCTACATCCATTCAAAATTTACACTGATTTTTCAGCACTGAAAAGCAGGGGGCGGGGAGCTGAAGTTACATCAGTGAGGAGAGCTCTGAGAACTGATTGGAGGGAAGGGACACACATTCCCTTCACACTGCACACAGGAAAAGAGCTGAGGCTGTCAATTACAGGCTGTGCACTCCCCTGTCACCATTTTTCTCTTGGTGTCAGGAAAACTCAGCAGAAGTGACTCATGCTGATTGCAGAGGAAAAGGCAGCGGACAGAAATGACACTTGGTGTAGTGCTCTGGATTGAGACAAGCACACACTATGCGGGAATATTCTTTGTTCATATTTCATGTCTGAGATTAACAACCACTTTAAAGAATAAAAAAGGTATATACCAGGTTTTTCCGTTTACTGTAAAATCAAGCTCAGCAAGAGATTTGGGTGCCATGTATTATTCCTGTCTGGATTCAAAAA